CGACTGATCATGTATGCAACAACTGAACGAATCGTCATCTTTCCTCCGAGATAATGACTGCCCTTACACAGTAACACGGCACGTGCTCTCTGTGTCTGCAGCCATCGCGCCGGTCTCACACATGTCGCGTCGCGCCTCAGTCAGCTCCGTCGTCTGTGCGGCGCCTGCCTCATGTCGGCGATCCGCACCTCCCCGAAGTTCACCCCGGCGGAGGAGATGGTCGCCGTCATCGAGCTGTACCCCAGCTCGATGTTGCCGCTGCCGTTCGTCGCGTTGAGGCGGACCTCGAAGTCCGCCGTGAGGAGGGTGTCGCCGGCGGCGGTGGTGTTCACGGCGAGCGCGTTGATGTCGAGCCGCTGGAGGCGGACCTCGGGGAGGTTCGACTGGAGGAAGGCGAAGTAGATGCCGCCGAGGAGGAGGAACAGGATTAGGAGGATCCCGACGGTGAGTGAGGTCCACGCGCAGCACGAGTTGCATAGGGGGCCGCATCCGCGGCGGCGGGGGCGGGCGTTGGTTTGGGACTCGGTGTCGCTGTCGTAGTCCCCCGCCGTGGAGGGCGGCCTCGGGCGGCGGTGGTCGGGAGGCTTAGGGAGGGTGTTCTCGTTGAAGGAGACGCGGCGGCTGAGGCTCTTCTGCAGCGGGAGACGACTGCCTTTCGGAGCTGAGTCGGCCGCCATTGCAAGAGAACATCAACTCACTAAAAAAAAAATGAATGAAGAAAAAAATTTGTTTCTAAGGGAAAAAAGAATGGGAAAACGTGAGTTTTGGAAAAAAAAATCTGTTTATTTGGGTACTGAATTTTAGGAGGGCCTCACAATTTTTTGATTGGTTTAGAGTTTGCGTAACGATCGAACTCGGGAAATTAGATGCTACACAGCGTATTAATACAAAAGAAAATGTTTATATAGAATATGTTTTTAACTAAAAATGGAAAAAGAAAACTATTTAAAAGTATTTTTGAAATGGAGGTATTGAAATATAGTTTACTTTGGATTCTAATTATAGTTTTTTAACGATTTTTGACCAATAGTCGGAACTCTTAGAAAAATAATTCCACGAAATGATGTTGCACATGTTTCATATGCGATATGAATCAAACACTTATTTAAAAGGATGGGTATATTTTCGGTTTTGAAGTGACCAGTTTTGGATCAATTGAGTGTCTAATTAAACAACTCTTGATAATCTATGAACTATTATTAATTTAAAAACAAAATGAGAAAATTATATTTATTTAAATATTCAATAGTACAAGCTCCTTTTTTGTTTTAACCAATCCGATCCCCGAATAATGAAAATTAACGATGAAAACGATGATGGGGAGAGGTAGTTTTTGGTCCTTAGTGCTGAACAATTTTATTTATTTGGCTAATCAGTGAACACGATGATGTTTTAAATATCAACGGTTGGTGTAAATCAAGATGATTGTATATTTGTATTCATTTGATTCTCATTGTTGCGTCCATTTTGGCCACTGAACACAATCTTTAATTAACAAGTGTTTGTGATATTGAAATAATGGTCAATTAGATATATTGTCAATTGTCATACATACCCTTGCTTTTAAAAGTATAATATATGAACCATTGAAAGTTAAACTTAGGAAGTAGCACTTCTTCTATTGCTTCTAATTGAGCCAAGTTCTTAGATCTTCAATCATTATGGTTAAATTATCACTATGAAAAAATCATAATTTATGGGTTTTCATCTCATCCTCAAATAGGCAAAGAAACACAAAGAAACAAGACATTTCAAATTTGACAAGAAAATCACAAAACACTACAAATACTACACACACCTAATAAATTCATGTAAAAATCAAATACAGTTTCTTAAAAATCAGACTAAACTTTCTTAATTACTCCAAAAAAAAAAAATCAGATGAAACATTAATCTTTTCCGAAATAAATTAAAAATCATATCAAGGGGTTTGCACATTCGAGTCCTTGGATTTGTTCTCGTCCGAAGAAGGCCGGTTCTCCGAGTCAGATTGCCTCACCTCTTCGATCATTCTAACCACTTCATCCATATTCGGCCGCATATCGGGCGCCTTCGCGACACACGCCATTGCGATTTGCAGCATCTGCACCATTTCCTCTTCGATATTCTGAAACCTCATCAGCTCCACATCGAACACCTCGGCGGTCCACTCCTCCCGGACGACCGACTGGACCCACCTCGGCAGGTCGATGATGTCATCCCTTGCCGGAGACGACGTCGGCTGCTTCCCGGTGAGCATCTCGAGGAGGATGACGCCGAAGCTGTACACGTCGGACTTGTGGGTGTGCTTTCGGGTCTCCACCACCTCCGGGGCCCGGTAGCCCGCGCTGCGCGATGTGGTAGCGGGGTGGTTCATTAGTGGGGCCAGCCCGAAATCCGAGACGCAGCCTTCGAGGTCTTGGTTTAGTAGAACGTTTGATGATTTGATGTTTCCGTGAGTGAATTTGGCGCCGCCGGCCGAATGGGCGTGCGCGATGCCTTTTGCGGCTCCGAGTGATATTTTGACTCTCGACTCCCAATCGAGCGGCGTTCGTCCGGCATTCTTGTTTCCTTTTAGAAATCACACACACACACACACAAAAAAAGTTCAATAAAAAGAGAATTAAGGTTCACAAAAAATGTATTGGATGTATTGCATTCAGCATTCATCACCCCGTGTTTATTTTAATTGTTAAAAAATACGCGTGTTATATATATTAGCAAAAAAAAAACGCGATTGACGCAATTTGGTTAGCAAACTAATCCCTAAAAACTCACCATTTAAGGGGTTGCGTGCTAAAAAAATATATCATAGGTGGGTTTTTGCTAATATTTTTAACTTGTGGAGTTTTTTAGCAATTCGTTAAAAACAGGGGTACTAAATGCAAAAATACTCCAAACGCCGATTACACATTGAATTAAAAGTTAAAAAGAGAGAATTAAACTTCACAAAAAGATATTTAATCAAATGTATCATGCTTCCCTGTGTTTCATCTAATTGTTAAAAAAAACCCGCGTCTTACAAAAAATAGCAAAAATACCCCTATAATCCAATTTTTCTAACAAACTTCCCCGAAAAACTCACCATTTGAGGGGGGTTGTTTTGGCTAATTTTATAACACAATGGAATTTTTTAGCAATTCGGCATAACACAGGGGTACTAAACGCAAT